CGTTGCTCAAACTCTTTTATTAGCTGCGCCACCTATTCAGCTACCACTCATTGTAGTTCCCTCCAGTGCTCCAAGATAGCTTAAGTTGACTGCGATGTATCCGGTAAAGCGAACCCAGTGGATCCTATACCAACGGACAGAGGTAACGACGATCCAACGGTCAGGCTGCAAGTTGAGAGGGACTTCGATTCTCTCGAAATGGGGTCAGTATAGATATTGCTATGGTGGTCATTGAGGGATCTTTTTCCAAATGGCCACTAATAACATTCTGTTAACGCATAAACTGCAGTCTACATTCCTTTTTTCGTTTTCCTATTTGTTCAAAGATATTGATACCGGACTTGATATTGCAGTGATATCCATAGGGTCTTGTCGTAAAAATACATAGAGCTATAGGGGTTCCACCAGGGAAGGAAAATCTCTTCATGTCCGATTATTTATCAGGAAGGCAAGTCATGTTGAGGAAGAGCCCAGAGATTATTCTTTGAAAGCAATTGCGGGTGCTCTCGGTTAGTGGAGGGAGAGGGAGACATTGAAGTGAGTGAGTTACTAACAGAACTTGGGGCTAAGCCTTGGGGAGTGAAAGGATTTCAGGAGTGGACGTGCAACCCTTGTTCTCCCTGACGTTTCTCTCTTCTTCAAAGCTTAGTCATATTGTCGTCTAGCAGTGGTGTTGAATGCACTGTTTTAAATGACCTTCCCCTTCCCCCCAAAGCCACGAGCGCCACAGTCACGTTTGTTTTTAGCGGATCGCAAGAGTGCATGAGATCAGCATTTCTGAGATAGTTATTTGGAAAAACCTGGCATGCCGCTAGAATATTTTCAACGACCATCGCTGCGGATTTACTTTTTCTCGGGCAAGCGCGGTCCGTACTCCTCTCATGAAGTCTATTCAAAAATCTTGCTCCTTCTGAAAAAACGACGATGGAAGTCAATAAAAGTATTTACCTTGTTTTCAACTCCTCCAGCTGTGTTTTGTTCATGCAGGTTTTGTACGCGATTCGGGCCATATTAATCGAAGTTGATTTTGACGTCACTTCTTGCTCCAATAGTACTGAAAAGTAATAAGATAGGTAATCAAGACAATAGAAAAGTAAGTCACAATCCTACCTTCCTACGGATTACAGAAAATTCAGTCTGAATAGAGAAAATTTCGATGATATAATTTTTTAATCGAAAGCATTTGTTGCCAGTAATTAGGGACATTCACAAGGTACGTTCATACTCCTTCCCTCCCACCGGAAGGTTTGCTCCTGTAGTTTAGAGGCAGCGATTACGATAGATAGTTAAGGGGTTCATAGGGGACATGGGGATGCTCAATGGTAGAGGGCGAGAAAGCGAGAAAATCGTCAAGAAAACGGAAAAGGATCCCCTTGTTTGACCGTTGATCTTCGCTCAAGGATGGGCAGCGGCTAAGAAGCGGACGTATGGACGAGTTTACCGCAACGCGTTTGGTGGCACCATGCCAACCATGCTCCAGTCGAGTTGCTCCAGTTGTGCCGCTGCTGGCAACGCAGCTCGTCCAAATCACCAACTAAACTAGTGGGCGGATCGCTTTTGGGGCGGAGTGCTTTCGAAGTCCTGCTCAGCAACCAGCGCACCTTTCGTCGTGAAAGCGACCTAGCTTTCATGACGAAAGGTGCGCTCCTATCTCGCTTGCTTGGCAGCTTAGTAACCGCTTCGTGTGGCGAATACTTCCCTGAAGCGCTCCCTCGTCATCATTGCCGCTTCTTTATTAACGGAGGGTACCTTGAATACGAAAATCATGATGTAAGTAATTTCCCTCATCGTTCCTGGCCAACTCCTGAAATAAACCTCGAATTCGAATCGAGTACACGTAAACACGATAATTCAGTGTTCCTCGCTCGGCGAATATGTTTGCAAGATTTCACTATGTTCA